ATCCCCCCTCACAAAGAAAAAACATTGCCCATTCCTGCACTAGGGAGTCATCTGTAATATGAAGAGCCCTTATTTGAATGGCACATTGTATATTTTCTTTATAAACTAATAAAAACTTGATACACACACACACACACACACACACAAGACTACTGTTGTGGTCCAAAGGTAGCTGCTACTGAACTGCTAGTTTAAGTCTGGTAAAACTAGTAAGGCAAGTGGATATAAATGGAAGTTAAGGCGGCATAATAATTTTCACTTGGAAACCTCAAAGCTGTGGAAAAGCCTCCTTCCAGCAAATACATACAGATCCTGGGGCAGGGAGGGAGAAACATGAATGTTTCAAATCACCTCCTCATTTCCACAAAATAAATTTTAAAAAGTCATTTTCATGCAAATATTTAGCTTTCAGCAATACTAAGGCCAATTCTTGCTACAATTTTAACCAACAGTGGACAAGTCGATTATATTCATTGACCTGAAAGCTATATAGCAGCCTTCCTGGCTATCTGGTTCTTCACACTGATTGCAGAACATGAAGATCTGATTGTTCCTCCCTTTTATTGTAATATAAAACAGAAGTAACTCCACTATACTCAGTTCCTGGTTTGCAATGGGAATCGGGTTCAATGTCTATATATTAGATAGAGTTTACAAGAACATTTTCCCATTATTTTAGACCTCTGTGCTTAATGTTTGATCCTCTAACATGGGAGAGATTGGAAGTTATTCAAGGGCATTTCATAGTCAGCCAGCAAAGCAATCCTATCATGCAGAAAGTAAAGCAAGCAGTGCACTAGGCAGATTTCATATTTTCAATGTCATATCCTAGCTGTTTACCAAAAATGTATTCAGAATGCCCAGGGAAGTATTGTGCTGTTTGAAGTTAAAGTAGTTAAACCGAGGTACAGGGTTTTACTGATCTGTTCTCACTTCCAGAGAAATAATGTGATGTTATATAAAAGATGGTATCTCAGTGATCAACCAGGTGTGTTTCACATTTTCAAACAAATGTTTCCACTGGTAACAACATATGTCTTGTCTCCTTTAGTGGCAGCTTATGAGAACTAAAGAATCCACAAGGGACGATGGTCTAAGAATCTTGTCTGTCACAAATTTTGGCACAAGAATAGCTTCTTTTTAGCCTGTGTACACAAGGAGTGTGTATTAATTCTCCAGTGCAGATTTGAAGATAGATCATTGGACCTTGGGAGACCTCCTGCAGCTACCACCTCTGGTTAAGAGACACACGTTGATTGAATTGACAGAAATCAGTCACAAAAAGTAACACCTATACCCATCCTGTCAGAGCCACATAGGAGTAGCTGTCGGACCCAGTGCAAGCCAGCATGCTTGCTTTAATATCTTTAAAGTATTTGGGGAGGTGTGCGCATTTGCTTATCGGCTAGTCGAGTCAACTAGTCAATTCCCGTCCCCCCCCCCCTTGCTGCCTCTATCACCAAGGCAGCAAGGGGGTAGCAAAGCAGGAGTCAGTGCTGGGGGGAACTGGCTTACAGAGCTGACCCCAGCTTCTGTGTGGCGCTGCCCTTTCGAAATGCCACCGTGGCGTTTGCATGAAGCCTGGGTCATCTGGGGAGTCCCCAGCTGATCCCGTGTACTGGAGGTAATGCTGCGCGGAGCCTGAAAGCTGACCTGGGCTCCACGTGGGACAGCGCAGCATGGAGCCTAGGGTCAGCAGGGGACTCTGGCATCCACATGCAGCCCCGAGTCAGTGGGACTTGCCTCTGGGCTGCATGCGGAGTTCTGCATTCCTCCTTTGAGGTGTACAAGAGCCCCAGTGGGGGCTTCTGAACATTACAAAGGAGGAATGCAGAAGTGCCTATTGACTAGTTGATGGACATTCCATTGACTACTAAGTTACTCAATATTTAACATCCTAACTTAAAATGCAGAGTCACAGGGGGAGGAAGGAGAGGTGATTGCACGTAGCCAGTATCAGTTAATCATTTAACCAGTGACACTATGAGGGTACGTCTACACTACAGCGCTAGTTCGAACTAACTTAGTTCGAATTAGTTAATTCGAACTAAGCTAATTCGAACTAACGCGTCTAGAACTAAAAACTAGTTCGAATTAGCGTTTTGCTAATTCGAACTAGCAAGTCCACATTGAGTGGACTCTGAACAGGGCTTAAGGATGGCCGGAAGCAGTGCCGGCAGCGCATCAGAGGAGGACTTAGAGCGTGGAGATGCTGTCTCAGGCTAGCCGAGGGCTGCGCTTAAAGGGTCCCGACCCCCACCCCGGACACACAGTTCTAAGGGGTGCCCCACTTGCAAAGAAGTTCTGGCTTGGAGTGCCCTGAGTGCCCACACTGGGCACATCACACCACTCGGCCATCAGCCCGGCTGCACTTGCCGCAGGCTGCCATCTGGGGAGAGGGAGTAATTGGGGGGCTGCAGGAGAGCTTCCACCCCCAGAAGCCCGCAGAGCCAGCCCAGTCCTCCCCATCGGGGGCTCGTACCCCATTCCTCCCTCACCTCCTTCCACTTACCCTTCCCTAGCCCCCCTTCTTATTGATGTACAAAATAAAGATAACGTTTCTTCCAACATTGACTCTGTCTTTATTGAAAAAAACTGGGGGAGACTGGGAAAAGGAGGTGGGAGAGGGGAAGAGAAAGGCTGGGAGAGGGGAGGGCAACTAACATGATCAGGGGTTGGGAACAGGTCCCAGATGAAGAAAGGCTACAGAGACTGGGACTGTTCAGCTTAGAAAAGAGGAGACGGAGGGGGGACAGGATAGAGGTCTCTAAAAGCAGGGGTTGGGTGGAGAGGGTGCATTCAGAAAAGTTCTTCCTGAGTTCCCATAAAGAAGGACTAGAGGACACCAAAGGAAAGGAATGGGTAGCAGGCTTGAAACTAGTAAGAGAAAGTTGTTCTTCTTCCCAAAGCAAATAGTTAACCTGCGGAACTCCTTGCTACAGGAGGCTGTGAAGGCTACAACTAGAACAGAGTTTAAAGGGAAGTGAGATCAAGTCATGGAGGTTGGGTCCATGGAGTAGTCTTAGCCACGGGGTAGGAGTGGTGTCCCTGCCCAAAGTTTGTGGAAGGCTGGAGAGGGATGGCACGAGACAAATGGCTTGGTCATTGTCTTCGGTCCATCCCCTCCAGGGTCCCTAGGGTTGGCCGCTGTCGGCAGACAGGCTACTGGGCTAGATGGACCTTTGGTCTGACCCAGTACGGCCATTGTAAGCTCAGGGCTCAGTGTCGGGGGTCTCAGTGGACCCCCTTGATTTTCATGCACACCTGGTCCTGGGTGGCCAGCTCAATCATAGGTCTATAGTAATCATTTCCCAGGTGATTGTGACATCGACTCCGGTGACTAGTTTAGTGATAGGCAACTTAGGCTAGTGAGTGGGCTGCATGAGTGGCCCTCCATCTCAGGGGGCCACAGGACTGTTGTAAGGAAGACAGTCTCCTCAGATAGGGCAGTTTTGCAAGCCTAGAATTTACAGGTGTGCCAACTGAACCAATGGTGCTTTCATCAGATGCAGAGGGAGCGCATGGCTCTCACTGTCAGTGCTGTGTGCAATCAGCATGCACCTCAAATGCCCTTGCTTTCCATAGGTTTTCCCCTGCCAGTATTACTGAAGTGTCACCTACACGGATGGAAACCAGTGGAATCTGGCAATTCTGTGCATGGACAATGGTAAACAAAGTGTCTCATGGGACACAGAATCCCAATGGGCTGCATGAGGCACGTAGGTTGCCCACCACTCATCTGCTTAGTCACTCGAGCATGGATTTAAAAGTAGCCCTTCTTCTACAAAGGATGTTCACTAGCCAGTTACAGAGAGAGTCTGCAGAACTGGAATTAGTCTACAGATTTGACACCATTACCCTGGGCTTGAACGAAGACATTACTGGTTGGCACATTACAAAGTCAATTTCTCCTGCCTTTAACATCTGCATTTCTATATCAAAAGCTATGATTGGGACACATCCAGCCCACTAAATTAGCCTCATTAACACAGGTCCTACAACTGACAGATTATATACATCAGCAGAAGTAGTACAGGCAGTCCCCGGGTTACATGGATCCGACATACATCGGATCCCTACTTACAAATGGGGTGAGGCAACCCTGCACTAGCTGCTTCCCCCCAGCAGACCAGGGAGACGCGAAGCTAGCTTGGGACACATCCAGCCCACTAAATTAGCCTCATTAACACAGGTCCTACAACTGACAGATTATATACATCAGCAGAAGTAGTACAGGCAGTCCCCGGGTTACATGGATCCGACATACATCGGATCCCTACTTACAAATGGGGTGAGGCAACCCTGCACTAGCTGCTTCCCCCCAGCAGACCAGGGAGACGCGAAGCTAGCGCTC